CACACACACACACACACACACACACACACACACACACACACACACACCAAGGGCTAACACTTCTTCTTAACTGAACGAACATGTACATAAATCAAAATAGCAAATTTGCAAACTGTCCGACGAAGGCTTTCTAAATTCTCATAAAACCATTGCCATGGCATCGGTAGCTCAACATACCGGCTCTTTTTTATTTTAGCGTTTTTTTCTCGCTTTCTTTCTCTGTCGCACTCTCTATAGTCTAAACTTGTTGTTGTCAGTATGTAAGTGCCATTCGAAACCAAATGGCGTGGCTTTCAAATGAATGCTTTTTGGATCTTCAATTGGTTTTCTCCATGTTTGTCTAAATTTAGGCAATGATTCGACATCGAGTATTCTTTTGTCGAAATATTTTGGCCGCAATGGGTTTTTTTCTCTCTCGTCAGTTCTTGGTTTGTTTCTTTTATGTCGTTAATCCTCGCAATCACACATACACACAGTCAATATAATATTATTCAAATTGAATCTAAGTGTGATGCAAAAGCATCTTTTGGAATAATTTAGCATCGATCTGACGTTGAAAATAATTCCAGTATAAATACATATTTCGTTGAATGCTAATACATATGCAAAGTGGAACAAATTGAAGTTAAAACATACTGAACGATGGAATGAAAAATGTATTTAAGCAAATTTTTGTTAAACAATTTTATGCTTTGTATTTAAATAAATTCTGAGCGCAAGCGGATGCGCAGACATAAACACACAAAATACACCGTGGAATACAACAAATCAATTCAATCATCAAAATTCCGTCAGCGAAATTGAATTCAATGAGTTTCGACAGAAAAAAACAACTACAACAACAACAAATAATGATCAATTGGAATTTCAAATATGAATTATTTTGTTTTCGGTGGTACCATTGAACGTTCAAAAATGGGCCCGATAAAATCGTGCATATTCACACGTTTTGCTTGATACTTCAGTCCATCATATTGGAAAAGTAACCGAATGGTAGAACTCAAAAAAAGAGAGAATTGTCCGCCCCAAAAAGGCGAATGAGCTAACTAACGAAGCGTCCGTGAAAAAAAAAGTCTCCAAATCAACTATAGTTTCAAGAGACATCACCGAAAATTTCATCAAGGAAGACAACAAAACAGGAACACACAAAAAAAACGACAACAAAACACACCAAATGATCCAAAAGTAATACATATTATATAATAGTATTCCGTGTTGTTCCAATGTATATTATATGCGGTTTTTTTTATATGTGTGTGTGGTTGTGCGCTCGCGCTATAACCATAACGATGATATTTGTTTAATTTCTTCTTTTTGTCGCTCATTTTTGCCTCTTCTCGGCGCTTCTTCTATTTTGTTTTCTTTTTTGTTGTCGTCGTTTATTGTTTGTAATATTCTTCATCACATTTGATGGTGTTTTGAAAAGAAAGAATATAAGCGCATTTTTATGTGGTTTTTGTGATATTGGGTTTGGTTATTTTATCCGTGCTTACATGTCAAAGTATTGACAATGATCAATTCGGTCGTGTACGCATTTATTTTTTTTTTTTTTTATGGAAATGAAAATGAGTATTTAAAAATACGAATTACACACTCTAATCGAGAGAATGTACGTACGTATAGAGAAAAACACCGAAGTCAAAGAGAATATACATACGTTATGTGTCTGTTGTATGTGTAAGATTGTCTGAGAGTAGGAAAGAGAGGCTTCACATACGGTTCGACATGCTTAAAGCGCGAATATAAATTGAACAAAAAAGAAAAAAACCGAACCAAACAGAGAAAATATCAAGGAAATCAGCTTAAAATGCACAAAAGCGATTCAGAGTCACATTTTGGGCTGGCTTTTCAGTGGCTCTGTCGTTCACTAGTTTTAACGCCAAATATACTCTGCTACTTGGGTACATTTGTCATCAAATATCGGTGTTTGTGCCTATGTATGTGTTCATTTTTTCATTTTCTATTCTATTTGACATGATTTGTGTGCGCAAATGGCAACAACGACAACTATACCGCACATACTTTGGCCGCTCACACAACACATCCAACCGTATTTGTCGCGTTTTATTTTTTCATTCGTGTTTTTCATTTTGAGTTTGTATGTTGGTGTTTTTTTTTTCCTCTTACAGTGGCCATTCTATCGAATTATGTGTGTGCGCGTGTGCTTGGAGCTTCTTTTTTTCGGCGGCTACTGTCACACCATTTCTTTTTACGCCGATCTATTCGTCTATTTACGTTTTATATGTACACAAAACAACAACAACAACACATTTTTAGTTGTTTTTAATGGCATGTCGCATTGCTTCTGTCTCACGACTTTTTTCCGTCTCTTTCTCGTGTTTATAAGTGAGAAATTTTATCAGTTCTTGTTTTTACGGTAAAATTAAACTTGTCGTCGTCAAGTCAAGTCAAGTCAAACATACATACACACACATATCATAACATTTCATTTCTTTTCAATTATTCAATTATTTGTGCATAACGCTGATTGATACGTATCCAAAATAGATGATCATGGTTTGACCACACGACAAACCATAAAAATACGATCGCTAACACTAGCCACCAGATCAATATCATATAAAAGAAAAAAAAGCGATCACGATACGCATATCAATCGCATAAGTTTGCATGTCACTTTCTAAATTGGTAGACAGCATTTGCATATTTGATCTGTAAACAAAGAGTGTCGTTTTGATGGTGCGCGAACGAGTAATCACAAAAAAAAAGAAACATTTATTCATGTGATTGTTGGTTATCATCATCATCGTTGTCGTCGTATTGGTCTTCATTGACATGATGATTAAAAATAAACCATTAATTCCGCTCATTTCAGGTTTGTTTCTTCAATAAAAACTGGATGGGAACATCGTTGTTGATTTTTCATAATTCTGGTGTATTTTAGTTACGGTGAGGTTGTTTTCTGTCGTCTGTGCATTTGGTTTCATATTTGTACACTGGTTTGATACTTTAGGACATTGCGTTTTTTGCAATTGTTCAAAGTTAACTTTTCCACTGTTTATTTTTTGGCATTCATTCATCTTTGATTTGCATACAACAAAATGCAATTATTATTATTATTTTAAAAAAAATCGGGCTACACTTCATAACAATGTATTGCACACAAACACTATTCATATTACTCTCTTGTCTTTTTTCTCGTTTATAAGAAACATTACTCTAACACTGTTTCACTGTATTTAAAAACTCGCCTGAAAATTTACCATTTAAAATTCGACTTTTTTTTTAATGTATCACAGTCTGTGTATCGATCAACAAAAATTGAATTTTCCTGCATGAAATGTAGACATTAACAACAATGTGGAGGTAAAAAAAATTGTGTCGTTCCATGTTGCTGTTTTCACTCTGTCAAATAAATCGGACACTTACAGGAGAATTATAATATGGCGTTTCTCTCTGTTGCCATCTCTTTTCATTTCGATAGAATTTTAGTCTCGTCTCTCGCACTCTCTCTCTCTCTCGCTCTTCATGTGTGCTGTTGTTGTTATTTTTATTTATTTCTGTGGTGTATTTCTTTTCTCGCTGTTGTAGCTCTGTGCTAGTTGGTTGATTTTGCCCGTACATACGGTAGTTGTACTGTACGCACTCATCTCTCACACAAGCCACAAATGCACGGAACACATTCGACTATAGCACATCTGTGAACGACAACGACGACGACGACAACAAGAACAACAACAACACCAACAACAACGACGACGACGAGAGGTTTGCCGTGTGTTATATTACATATACACACACGCACATATCATTTTGGATACATAGACAAACACATGTATGCTGCTGTTGCTGCCACTATTCACAAGTAATCTCATCCTCATCGGCTTTGTCAAATGGGTACGAGCTCGGTTCTTTTTTGAAAAATATTTTGCCAGAAAGGATATACATTTGTATACGAGCCTTGCGTTTCATTTCTCTGACAAATTCGCTCACACGTCCGCAATTCTTCAAAAGAATTTCTTCGGAAGTAAAGAGTCTATCCGAAGTTCGAAAAAAAAAACATATAGAATGGTGTAAATTTCAAATTTGATGATTAAACTCCTTGACCTGGTTCGTTGTGTTTGACTATTTTACCGTGAATGTATGCACATACATCTCTTTTTGATTAGGTTTCCATTCCTTTCAATGCACTTTTTGATGAATTAAAAAAAAATCATCGCATGCAAATGAAAGTATGTATTCGAGAGAGCATAAGAATGAGTGAAAGAAAGAAAGGAAGGCGGTGGTGGCGGGGCTTCGAGATGATGTGTTTACTTGTCAGTATATGTATTATAAATCAACATAATCTTTAGCCAGTATATAACACACAAGATATAATGTGTGTTGTGTATTTGTTGTTGATTTTTCTCGTCTTCGTTTCTGGTATGAGTGTGAGTTTATTTTCCTTTCATTTTTTTGTGTCTCTCTATCTTTTATTTTCCTCCTTTTTCGTCTTGTTTTTCACAACCGAAATGTTACGCCGCTGTTTTTTCTCATACTCGGTGACTCTGTGCTTTTTCTCTACTGTGTCTCTTTCTTTCGTTGTTGCTTATTCTACATTGAAAAACACACATTCGCACACATAAACCGATGAAACACATTCACGTCTATCTTTCTTTCAATTATTACTTTGTGAATATGAAACAACAAAAAAACTTTTCTTCTTTCTTATGCTCACTCAATTTTTTGTTGTTTTTTTCTTCTTTCTCATTTAAACTACTTTTTTCTAACTGCTGTTCCACGGGAAAAATGCGCTGTTATTGCTGCTTTCTTGTCAATTGTTATTTCGCTGAAAGCATGTTTCTGCTGCAAACTTTTTAAAATCTATGTCACTTTTATTTCTGCTGATGTGTTGCTCGTCGATTTGCACATATATTCAAATCACGTTAATCGAACGAGACATTTATATCATTACAAATTCCAAATCAATAATAATCCGTGGCACGTTCATTGTTTTGTTATCCGATCAATTTATTTGCCGTTGCACTTTTTCCAGCCCAAAAAATAACACACGCTCACAATAGCAAGCAGCAGCAGCAGCAAAAAAAATCAATCAGTCACGAACACACTTGCATACACACAGAATGACACACACTTCAAGGAAAACTGCTTTATTTAATCATAAACTGATGAGATTTAATTGGATGAATCTATTTAATTCGACTTTCAACCATTATACTCAATGCATTGAATTATGCAACATGAAAAATTGCGTTTCAGTTGCCAAAACAAAAGTTGTGCCCATGAAACCGCGATCATGACGTTCCGAAACAGATGGATTGATTAAATTTCACTATTGACTGAAATTGATGTATTGTTTATCAAATTGGATTTGGTGATTTGTTTAAGTATAAAACAAAAGAAAAGTACAAAACATCAATTAATGATAAACTTTAAAACAACAACATGTTTTTGGTTTTTTTTTTATTCTTCATTGAATCCATAGATGAATGGCATACGGTAACAAACTACTACTACCTTTGCAGCTAATACAAGCCAATATTATGGTATAGTTATGTTCTGTGCGAGAAAGAAAAAAAAAGCCGAGAAAGAAGAAGAAGGAGTGAACACACTGTCACACACATTGAACAACAACAAATGAAAACCGCGCGACCGACCAGATCAAACAATCCATAAATAAGAAAAAAAAATGATCTGAGAATCTAAAAAAAAACGAACTTCAAACGAAAATTTAATGTCTTTTATACACTGAAAATTTTTGGAACAAACAGCGGAACTGGCAAATCAAAAGATGAAAAACGTCCTTTTTCACGGCACACTATACCTATATTTCGGAAGAGTGCGAGTGAACGAGTAAGATGTAGAGGAAGAGTGAGAGAGAAATCTCTATTTGTTTTGCCATAAAGGGAAAAGCGCACTTACAACACTAACTCACTCACACATGCACACACACACACACAAAATATGTCGCACGAATTTTTCGCATTTTCCCATCAATTTTCTTCCATTTCGATTTCAATTCAAACTCACAGCACACTTTTTTTTCGATGTTAATAATGATGATAATCAAACAATATTGGGCTAAACGCTGATGCTGATGATGATTATAAAGATGATGGAGTAGATTAAAAGTGCCGAAGCAAATATGATATGCGAATTGGTTGATTACTATGCACTAACATATATATCTATGGCAATATGCGCGTAATAATAGAATATATGGTATATGTGTATATAGAGGGAGTGTGTATATGAATATATACCAAAAATATGTATATATCTCAAATGAAACTATTTGATACGTACAGAGACAGTAACGACGATGTAACGTCAACAAAGGCTTACTTTGAACTGTTCGCCATTCGATGTCGAACGAAATTTGTGTGTTGGATGTTTGTCCCAAACCAATACCATTGCAAACGCTCCAATTCATACACACATTCATGCATACATATACAAAAATAAACGCACAAGCCGAATAATCAATTCAATGTATATGGCACCGTTTTTTTTCTCTCTCTCTCTCTTCTCACTATTGTGTGTTACCATCGTTGCCTTAGTTGATGTTTGCTTTGGGACGTTTTTTTTTTTATTTCTTCATTGAGTCTATCTCTTTTCATTCTTCCACTTCAGTACTTTAGTTTCGCTTTGCAATTGAGTAGATTCAATGATGTTACATTGCTGTAACGTTACATTGTCACAACATTTTACCTTTAATGAAACTCCTGCATTTTAAATATAAATCGAATTAAAGATTGAGATTCTTTTACCAAAATAGACGGAATGAAACAAAAAATAGGTATGAAAAAAGCAAAAGTAAAGGTTAAAACTCCACCAACCAAGCGAAAAACGAGAGCCGCAAATCTCAGAACAAGCGACTATTGTCAAATGTCATTCCATTTTCGTTTCTCTTTCTGACAGATCACTGAATCGCATTCATTTTTAAGTAATGATAGCATTGGATTGTTTTCATTTATTGTGTATTTTTTTTAATTTTTGGAGAAATTTTCGGAATCAACAACATTGCAGTGCAGCTGAATTACTATTATACTATAATAGAGTGAGTTTAATATTGGAATCTTGAAAGCTATAATCATTCTGTGTGTAATGAATTTTGGAATTGATATTGTCTATTGCAGGCAGGTCTATTGCAGTTTACAAAAACTGCACTCATTTTAATACATATGTGAGTATAATTTATGCCAAAGATAAATAAATATGGAATTGGGAATAAAAATGAATTAACTTTTCGACATTCGCACATACTTTTCTATCTTTGCAGCTGGTTTCAACGATGGGTAATCTGAGCGTACGCCCACCGGTACAAACATTACAGATTTAAATCAATTTAAGTCAATGTAGCTGATACAAACAAACATCTCAGGCCACTATTGCTCCATTTACTCAAAAGTATGGCACGAAATGGATTAAGTTTGAGTACGAAGCTGCAGGACAACTTTCCATTAAAAATGATGAAATCAAAATCCATAATTTTAAGACGTTCTTTCAAATGTTACGTTGCTTCAGCCAATCGATACACAAATTGGATATTTTTGATCGACACATATGTACAACATGAAAATGTTCTTTTATATTATTACGTTATCATTACCTGTGTAGTTACTGTCGCATCCTGGACTACATGAACGAATTTTGTGCCGAAGCTTTGACCGATGTCAAATTCTATTCCCCAATAGGATTTGAGTGCATCGAAAAGCCTTTTGCAAATATTGAAGATCTTACGATTACCAAGAATTCATTGTTGGAAGAAAATATTTGAGCGCAGTTTTTCCAAAATTAAAAAGTTTGAAATTTTCCATTAATTTTTTTGAGCACGATTTCAATTCAGCCATAGTAGATTATTTCCCAAATTTACAGCATTTGGAATTAGATTTGGGAATTTGCAGGCTTGGTAACTGTAAACAGGTTGTAATCGATTTATTTCGTTTGAACTCACACTAACTAATTTTAGTTGTTTGGAAGAAATCAGTGATCATTTGCAGGCATTTGAAAATCTTGATGTTTACGTATTTATAACCGTTCTTGACAGATCTCAATTCAATTGCAAGTCGATACATTTTTCAAACGTTAAACAATTCAAACTTGTACTCAATATTCGTAATTGGGATTTCAATTTGGCGAAACTCCCTTTTCAGTTTGATCAATTAAAAAAGTTTTTTTTTTTTCGAAGTGTAAGTCCGAGTACAATGATTTGTATAGTGAATTTTTGAGCGAAAATCCAACTATCGAAAAATTAACATTTGACCATTTAACTAACTATGATGTTACTATCGATGATGTTAAGAATACAAAAAGGCTTCAAAAAATGCTAGCATCCTTGAATGAAATTATCTTTAACAACTGGTATTGTATTGATAACTTTATGAAATACTGGGCAAATGATTTAAAAACACTGAAAAGATTTAACTTCCTTGGAGGCGCAACTGAAGAACAAATAAGAAAAATACCGGTCGACAAATGGCATGCAATTTTATCAAAGAAAAAAGGATCTTTGAATTCTCGTATGTATCAGTCACAATGCATTCCATTCAAGCATGAATTTTTTGTTTTGCAATTGTAGTTCAAATGAACGAGGAACTGAAAGATTTTGCAAAAGTTCTTTGATCGAAATGGACCCACGAAATGAAAATTATCACTGAAGTCAATGCATTTTGGACGAATACAACCGTAGCTAGGGACCATATCAGGTTTTACGCTCTTCATTCGCCATACATACATACATACATACATACATATCAGGTTTTCTTTCGTGTGATACACACGCACACATATAAAAATGTGTTGGAATCAGCATAGAATATATACTGTTTTTTTATCTCTATGTCTGCTAATTTGTCATGTCCGATTGATAATAATTGTTTGAAAAAAAGAAGAAATTTTTGAATACGATAATATACTCGCGAGTCGTATTTAATGTTCGTCTTTTTCAATCGTTCATTCGAACATAGCATTTTCGTAGTGTGTCTGGTTTCCATTGATATCGCTAGAAAATTGCATTTTTAGTCATGCAAACACACACAAACACACACAAACACACACTAAATATGGGCTAAAACAAGAGGAACATTCAACGTCGGCTTGTTGCCATCAAATAATGGCTGAGAAATACGATAGCAACAGTGTATGTATGTGTTAATAAAAATGCATAGAAATATTGTTGTTGTATGAGTGCAATTTTTGATGTTTTGTTTGCCCGCTGGTGTTGTTGCCATTGTAATGAAGCGCGCCACCAAAAAATAGCAGGTTTTATATACAAATAAACGGTTGTGCGCTCATTCTCCCGTGTGCATGTCTCTCGTACTTTTTTCTTATTTTCTCTGTGATAAATGCTCAAGTCATTTTGTGCCCAATGTATGCGTTCTTCATTACCCTGTGTAGTAAGCATGTATAATGCAGCAAAAAAAAAACCAAGAGAGATATATTGCATTTCCACTGTATGCGTTGTATGCGTTGTATGCTCTGAATTGATTTGAATGATTACGACTGTGTTGTTGATCAATTCAGCTACTGATGCTGTTTAGTTCGCGAACCACTGATTCTGACTATGGGCATTTTTTTTCTCTGCTCTTTGATTGCCAAAATGCTGTACGGCTATTACAAAACCACATTTTTATACAGATTTTTTTTCCATTTAAATTTGAATTTTTGTCCCATGCCATTCCAATTTTAGATCAAACCAATCGAACTTTAATCGCATGATGTTAAAATTTGGTTTTCTTAATTGAAATATCTCTGAATCGCAAAATTGAAAAATCGACAACACAAATATTGGTGAAAAGCATTTGGGACGATAGCGGTTCAGATGTTATCATTCATTCGGTGATTCCCGTTCTTCTTTCATACACTTTGTATGCAAAATTCCAATTATCAAGGAAAAATACATAATCACAGAGTGGATTGAAGACGATGTTTAAGTTACACTATACACTGTGTGAAATGAGTTTGTGCATTCATAGTAAAACGGTTCTTTTTTCCATTGGGGCATTTCGTTCGGTCGCTATGGATCCTAGTGCTCTTTTTGAATATATATGAATATGTTAAATGTGTGTTTTTGTGATCCACATTGCAATTTATGCTGTAATTTCGATTGCATGTCAGTTTCTCGAATATAATCTCTATTTCGCTATGGTTGGTCATGTGTAATGTAAATTAGTCGTGGGTGTATTTGTGCGAACGCATCATGAAACGCAACACACATCGCAATTTAAAAAAGAAATCTTCTAAGTGCTTCAAGTTCTGTGTGTACTATAGGGTGTTTCCCGCATATGCAAAATAAAAAAATGGGTATTTTCAATAAAAACAGCGCAAAATTCTGTGCTAAGTGATAACACTAACAGATTGTATCGATTGCTATTACGACTTCCCGAAACGAAAAACTCTCCGATGTAAACAATATTTTGCGTTGATTATTGTTATTATAAAATCGGAACGCTATTCATTTAAATAGAATATGAGAAATTTCAAACATGTAAATCGTACAAAACATTCCATTATGATACACTCACAATAAGGCTCACAACTGTGGTGTTTTTTTCTCTTGTGCAAATGAGATGAGAGCAAAATTGTTTATAACAAATAAACAGCATTGTGATTGTTTCAACATTTGCCTGTTCTTAGAACAGACGACATTATGTTCGTTTTCATTTCATCTGACGATGCACACACAGCACACGCTCTTTCTGTTTTGATTATTAGTTTATTTGTATTGTTTGGCATCGTCAAAAAGGCAATCAATGTGTTGCCGTTTGTTTGAATATCGAACACAGCGGTAATGTTACATTTTTTTCTGTATAGAATGTAAGTGTGTGTGACTTGAAATTTGAAATTTCGGTTTTGCTTTCACCAAATGTACAACAATACTCTCGTTTGTATTTCGTTGTGCTTCAGTTGCAGTTTGTGGCGTGTGCAATATTTTTGTTATAAATGTTTTATCAAATTTTCTTTTTAACGAACAGACAAATGTGCTGAAAAAGTAGTTTCATATGGTGTTTGCGTTGTTGATTATTCAAGATGGCATGGAGAAAAATGCGATCAAAGACAGAATTCAATTTTTGCAACCCAATCAATTTGCTGCTTTTGTTCAACAATTGGTTGCCTGATATTTTTGAAAACAGGCAGTCATTTATTTAAAAAAACAGCATTGATTTTTGTTTCGCTAACGGATACAAAATTGAATTTCATCAGAAGTTGAAATACGGTCGGCTTAGATTTCAAAACGATACTTACACCGTATCGAAACGAATCAAATCAGAACAGGAGCGACTTCCGAAGTGGTCAGATGTAAGTATAGCTGATCAATATAATATAAATTTGTAATTTTTTTTATCAATGTGCAATGCATATAGTTTTGTGATAGTTTATAAAATAAACATTTAAAATTGACGTGATTTTGACAGAGAATTTAATTAAATTTTTTACTTTTATTACTTGCATACACAATAGATTGATCGGAAAAATGGCGAACAGAAAGTACAAGAAATTAAAAAATAATAAGTCTGGAAAATTGAAGTCGATTTCGGTGTCAGCACCAAAGAAACCGGAAAAAGAGGAAAAAATTGTCGGATTGGCTACGATCAAATGCAAATTCAAATCAATTATTCGAAAAGAATACCGCGATGTAATTTACAGTGCAATCACCGAAAAAAGTTTAGAGGCGACAAAGATAGCTGTATTGGCTTCGCAATTGTTTTTGTTTAAAGTTCAAAGTGCAATGGACTACAACAACTTCGGTTTCTTTGAACAAAATGGTGAGAAGTTAATTCGCAAGTGCTTTTACGCGGTTTTGGGGAAAAATATCGAAAATTGCACCATGGAACCCGAATTTCGGCAATTTGCACAAAATTTGGACGATGATCATCGCTTTGAATGGCCAAATAACAAACATTTTGGTAATGCCATGGGCGATATCATTGATATCTACGAAAACAATTTGATTACAAATTTGAACACGCACCCAGGGAAACGATTACGCGAATATCTCAACATGAAGGTGTACATGATTAATTCGAATCCGTATTCGGTTTTCAAATTTCAAGAAAAGGATGTTAGTGCGTGTATCCGTTTGGCTATTTATGGAAATGATGTAGTCATTCGTGGAATGGATGATGTCGCCAAACGTGAGAGAGTACAATGGTTGATGGATTACATTCGCCGAATTTGCTGGTGGGATATTCCAAACGATAATTTGGGTTTATTCACGAAAAAACAATGGTTCAAATCGTTGCAAATCTGGCTTACTATGCAGCGCGAGATTGATGAATTCAACATTGATCAAGAGCTAAGAGAAGAACGCAAAGAACAAAGACAAGAGCAACGAAAGCAACGTCGTCAAAAACGAAAACAAGATGGCCAACAACAATCGAAATCGCCTGAGGATAATGCAAAGAACAACGTACCGAAAATCAAAAATTTGACGGTTATTCCAATTTGTCAATTCAAGCGCAAGTATTTTCCCATCGATACTTTCACGCTGTATAAAATATTATGCGGTTTGAAGCTCATGCCAAAGAACGATAATGGAATACAGCTGACATCAAAAGAATTTCAGCGCGACAAAGAGTGGTATTGGGACAAAATTTTTGATATGCCGAAAATCAAACGGCTTGGCAAACGAAAGAAAATGTTCCATTATCGAATAATGTCAGATGGCGAAGGAGTTTCGTTGCTATATGATATTGAACGAGAGCCGTTCAAACCAATTGACAAAGCGGCGATCCGAAAACGATTCGTTGAAAATGGACCTGACAAAATTAAGAAATTGTTGGGCATTGATCCGAATGAAAAAACGTGGAATGCGACAGTGCAACGTGATGTAGAAACGGGCAAAGAGGTGATTGTTCATATATTTCATTTGATAAAGTGTATTTAAAATTCACAATAGAATACAATGCTTTATTTTAATTATTTCTTTTCTTTTATTTCGTAGGTTAACATCAAGATAAGCTCAAAACATTATCATTGGATCGCCAAACAAAAGGTACGAAACAAGAAGGCAAAACGTTATACGAAGTCATTCACTCAAGAGGAACAAAATGATCGAAATAATCGGGCACTGTATCCCGCGATGCCGTCTCCCATGGGAAAACATTGGTTGTGTTATGTGCATCATCGATTGAAAATGTTGGACAAAGGAATGGAGGCGTATGCATCGGACAAATATACGCGGCTGTGTTTCGACAAATACGTCGAATCAAACAGTGCAATCGATCAAATTGCCGGCATGTTGGTGAATTATGAAGCAGCAGTGGTGTATTTTGGAGCGGCTGAAATATCACCAAATCTACCGTTCCATATCAAGAAGCATGTGAGATGCCCCGGTGCACGTAAAATGAAGAATGCCTTCAAAAAGCGTGGTGATTGTGTCATTGTGCCGACGGATGAATATTATACGTCTCAAACTTGTCCAAAGTGTTTGGAAAGATTTGATCCCCGCACAAAAAGTCATCGGTTCAAAGTCTGTCAAGACTGTAAGCCCCATCCAGCTGCTATGTTGCCATCCATGATCGTAACACAGATGGGCACACGAAAATTGCAGACATTTCGGAAAATAGATCGAATAGCAAATGCAGAAGCAGAAGCAAATCATCAAAATGCAGGACCTTTACTCTCAAAGGTGGTAGTATACCGCAAAATCTGGCTAGTAAACCCTGATAGTGGTGTTTTGGAATACGCTGATACTGATGCTGCTCAACAACAACCGAGTGCTGCTGAACAACTTAACGCGCTTGTAGCTGCAATTGAGGTGGAATTTATTGATTTTGAGGGGCGAATCAAACGCAAGACAGTTTGGCATCGCGACATTGCCGCTGCGAAATGCATCCTCATCAAGGGTGAGTTTGAAATGGAAGATGTGAAACAATTACATTAGTCGTTTACTTATCTCTTTTTTTGATTTGTCAGGGCATTTTTGGCTGTTTGACCTGGAGATACCCAAGACATTACAGAGACCAGCGCCTGCAGCTCAAAACAATCAGTATTAAGCATCAGCTAGCCATTTAATAAAATTAATTTAAAAATTTATACGGTAACACTTTGTTACTTTCCGCTATGCCTGAAGCTGTGGTATAGTAGGCTTTGCCTGACGCACCTATTAAGTGGTGTTTTTCCATTGTAAGTATCTGATATCAACAGTTTCGATGATAGTTACAGTACACGGAGCGATTGCTATTTGGACCATATATATGGTTTTTCTTTTGCTTCGGGAAGTCGTAATAGCAATCGATACGTTCTGTGAATGCTATCACTTAGCACAGAATTTTACGCTCTTTTAATTGAGAACACCCATTTTTTTATTTGCAGGTATAGGAAACACCCTAGTGTACTATTATCATCCGTTACTTGCGTATAATTGCATAAATTTTTCTATTCTTCTTTCCTTTTCTTTCTCTCTCTGTCTTTTTCAGACACCGACTTACGTTTTTCATGATTAACTCATATAATGATGATAAGCAAATAACACTTCAATATATGCTATTATATAAAAAAAGATTTTTTAAGAAATATTTCTGCTTGAAATGCACGTAACACAAAAAATGGCAAAAGCAGCTTTGATTGCTACTTTGCTCGCTTCAATTAGTTTTGATTTTATGATATTTTTTACACGATTTTTTTATCCCATTTCCTATATGAAAAATTTAATCTCTAAATATATTAATAAAAAATAAATTAATACAAGAACTTTTTTCTTCGTTAAAATTTTTCAAGTTTATTCAATTGAAGTAGACTTAATTTCACTGTTCGTTGTGATTCATACTAATTTCCATTGGTTTTTCTATTGACACTTTAATTTCATGTTTGTTTGAAACGGGCACTTGTAGCTTGTTTTCATATTTTTCTTTCTCTATCAGTTTCTTTCTCTTATATCACACATCCCTGATGTGGTTCAACACTAAAAAAAAATATTTGAAAAAAAAATTACGTTAAATTACCAATAATGTTTGCAGAAAAAAAAGAAATGACATGGAATAATCAACGGTGGTTTGTGTGCATTAAAAATGATTATTTTTAAGAATGTTTCGATCGAGTGTGTCAACATTTTTAAAATTAAAAATTCCATCCAGACTATAATAAAATTGGTATTTAAAACATAAAAAAATAATTTAATTCTTTTTCTAAATCTATTATACATTGATTGTGGGTTTCATTTTTTGGGTGTGTGAAGGGTGTGGTTATTTATTTATAATTTTCTCTTTTCAACAGTAACTAGGATAAATTATATCGATTTTCAAATTGCATTAACAATTTGTTCTATCAATAAATTTCTATAGATTTTCTGCTTTGCATTCATTTTATCATTGGTGTGTCTAAATATATATTAAAATACTCATTTAACTTAAAGTTCATTTACATCAAAATTCCATTAATCTTTTTCTTTCTAAAAACTATATTTCATATTTTTTAATCTTTAGTTTCAGTTTTCCTTCGCATATCTCGGTCTCTTTAAAAAAGATCATTTTTTCAATTAGGTACTTGATGACGGAAATCTTTCATTTCGAAAAAAAATCATTAAATTTCCCATGTAAAACTTAAGTTATAATTTTTTTTTGTTAATATTGTTATTGTATACATTTCAGTATGTTATAAAATATGGAAAAACGAGAAAAACATTCTATATTTGCCCTGATAAAAATATGTATATTGGATGTTTTGTTTAATAAAATCGATATTTTTCTGTCATTTTTTAGAATTGTAGTTAAAAAAATAACAAAAGGTTAATTAAACTGATTATTATTTTCCGGTTTAGCATTGCTTGTCGATTCCATGACGGCGACTATAATGACCTTCATATGCTCAATCTTTCATGCATTCAAATTGAATTTCATAAGCAAATCTCATCAAATTAAGGGCGATCCGATTTGTTGCGTGTGTGTGTGTGTGTGTGAAAGAGAGAGAGAGTTTGTAAGTGATGTGTGAGTTTTTTTGTTTCATCTGTTCAATTTGTTATTGACATTGATTATCATTTTTCTCGTAAAACCATTGCTAATCAACTTGTGCTGGCTTTTTATTAATGTCTACAAAATAGATGTCTCGATGATTTTGTAGCACAAAATCGAGGAACGCATTGATTGGTCCGATTTCTTGCATTGACATTTGGTTGTGTTTTGCCCACACCAAATTTGGTCCAAATACAATTGCCAAATTGGATGATGTCATCTTATTTAAATCCTTGCACTCTTCAACTTTTACCAAAAACTCAATCAAATATTTGAAAAGCTCATAATTTTCGACTGGCAATTTTTCGCGCAACATTTGTTTCACATTTCGTGAACGTTCTTCTTTGGGCCATTCTATAATCGAAAGTGATGTAAAGTTTCAAACAAATAAATATCACACAAATTTCGATTTTATTTTTTGAATAAATATAAACATACCTAGAAAATTAACAATCTCTTCGTAGAGTTCAAATGTAAGTAGTGGTTCCTTAAGATCCCTTAGAAATGTTTTCAATAGACCGGCAATGGCGTGCGTATCGATATCTTTAAAATCAACCAATTCACCCGAATTGACACGTTTCTTCATATCGTTGATTGTATTTAAATTTCCCGATCGCCGAAATAGGCCTTCCGTATCGATGACACCGGTTATTGACAGTGAATCGACACATTTTCGCACAATGGGCGGAATATAGTTTAAACATGGACTATTTTCATTGATAAATTTTAATGTAACTCCGAATTGTGTAGTTTTTGGTAAATTCAGCCTTTCGTCTGAAGAATTAGCTTGCGTTCGGGTATTTTTCGGTGGATTCTGTCTTGAATCAAATCTATTCGTAAATAAAGTAAAACAAAAATCAATCGGGGATATTATTGAGAATTTAAGCGTATAATAATAGATAAAGCAAATGTAATCACAAAATTTTCAAAAACGTACTCTCGTATGCTGTCGGGTAATTTGAGATTTGGTAAACCGAGAGCAGGCGCTAATTGATCCAAATTTGAAATGTAAACCAGCTTATTTTTGAACTTTTCGCTAATGAACGGTTTGAAAAAATTCCAAATCACTCGAATGGTCCACGTTGGATGCACAACATACAATCGCTTGAGATTCTTACGAAAATTTCGATCAAGTTCTTTGTATGAATTCCACAAAAATTGAATTGACGGTTTATTGGCTTCTTTTAATCCCTGATGAAAATAAACAATGACGTAGTCGTCATGCACATATGGTTTCATTTGAGTTATAATAAACCTGAAAATTGCAAGAGAATGGGAAATATTTTTTATTATTTAGCCGAAAGAAAAAAAAACGCACACACAACAAACAAACCACGAGAAATGAAATTGATCATCGACCAGTGCAATTTAGCGGCAGTGCGGAACATTAGAAAAAGCAAATGTCAATAAATTAAATAACAATATTCGAATATACATATAAATTGAAAAAAATTCCACACTTCCGCGCACATTACACTTAACAAATGTTATTTTTGAATGTTACCATTACAGTGCAATTCCAATAAAAATTCAGTGATCAATGCTATTTTAATACTAACTCGATAAAAATGTGACCGTTCAGCTCTTGACGCTCGGGCAGGCGGCATGCATAAATGGCGAATATGTGTTGACCCTGTTTGTCGGTGCCAAAATAATCGATAAACTTCAATTTCGAATAATTTAATGAAGCCGTTAACTCATCCACCTGTATGCGTGTGTTTTTGTGTATTTGTGTTACACAAATGAAAATGAATTTTAAAATTAATGTGTTTCTTTATTATTTTTTTTTTAATGCAAACATGGTGCGAAATATATAGCACTTGGATTTTTGTGTAATTTGGTGTGTAATACATTCCATTAAATGAAAAACAATGAAAGAAATAAGCGTTTACCTCGGGCTGCGGTAATTGATCTTCATAATTGTCAGCCTCAAGTGTATCTTGAATGTCAGCTACCGCCTCTTCCAATTCTTCTGTGTTGAAATCATCATTATCTAAACCATATGAATCAACTGCAGTCGCCAAAATGAATGCATTCATTCGCGATACAGGAATCATGGTATGAGAATAAAATTGAAGGTAAAAATAGTTAAAAAAAATGTCTTTGTTTCTTTTTTTCCCAAATTCCGTCGTCAACTAATTCAAAACAAAATTCTGTTCAAGTAATTATTGAACATTAAAAATGTATGTATCACAATAATGACAAGAGTGAGATCCTGTCTAAATTTCGGTGCCCCTATGTTTTATGGGCGTTCATATATTTCAATCAATGTAATATCAGCATTCTTCTTTCATCACCAAATGTTTATTGAGCATTTTTAGTTTTTTGTTTTTGTTTTATTTTTACTTTTATCATTCGGGTGATGATGGTACGTTTCATTGAATTGCTTCAATGTAGATAAAATTCAATTGAAAAATCTAAATTATCGAATAAATTTTTGTGTTGTTGTTGAGTCAACTTATTATCAGTGCGAGTTGTACGCTCTGTTATCGTAAACATGTAGTGTTTAAGTTGAAAATCGACAAAAAAAATCTCACAACATGTCTTGTTTCATTTTGATTAAACGCTGAACAACAGCAGCAGCGACGATGACAACAACAACGCCATGCTATCAATGGTGATGAGTGCGACTGGAAACGATGAACATGCGAATAAAATACATATGTGTATATATGACGTCGTGGAAACGTCAAAATGTCAGCGGAATATAAAAAGTGAAATATAAGTCGGGGCAAAAAGGCATATAATTTTGTATTTAGAATGAAGAAAGAGCAGAACGGTGCTGAAAAAAGAAAACAATAAAGAAAAGAAAAGAATAGGCATATTTACCGTTCGTTGTGGCTGGATGGGTCAGTTCAGTGTCATCGAACTCCAAATTTGGCTCATAATCATGCCAATCGGATAAACTGGGCAGCGGCTCTTCACCGTCATTTATTATTGGATTAATTGCCGGACCTTCAACCAAAAACAAAACACAAACCATTAAGACGCATTTTTTTCGCTTCATTTGATTTAGATCGGAATAAAATTGAAGAATGTTCTATATGTTCTAAAAAATTTTTTTAAATAAACATAATTACACTTGTAAGCATTCACCAACAACCACAAATGCGATCAAATCGGAAAATACACAATGCCAAGAATCTCACAAACAATTACACACATTCAAATGAATATTTCAGTAGTTCGTTGGAAAGAATGCAAAGAGCGTGTCTTCTATACCTACCTGGTAAAAAGCTACCGCCTCGATTCTGTAATGATCTTGATGGATCCATTGTTTCTGTTTTTCTATGATGATATTTTGTTTTTTTACTCTTTTCTTGTCGACTAACCGAACGGGAATATCGGTTGCTGTAAAACGGCTACACAAAATTGTCTCTATTTTTTTTTCCTCACGAAAGACACAAACAGACACGACAGCATACACAAAATAATGAAAACCGATCACAACCAATTTACACCGAGAAAAACCGTGATTTTCATTAGTTACACTCTATTTTCACTTTCTATCCGCTGTGTATGATTCAATTTTTGTGTGAACTATTTATTATGGATTTCCAAATTACAATACTTTTTGTAGACGATGGTGTGCAAAAGCGAATCTAGAAACGTAATACATATGCAAACACACGGAACATTCGCATGAAAACACCAATCAAATGTATAAATTGTTTGTGTTGCAATCGCGTAACCCCGCATACGCATTCACATAATATCTTTTTTTTTTCGAAACAGCGAACAAAATCTGTTCGGTCCGAAAAATTACACACACACACTCAAAAAAAAGTTGCAAAATTCAAAATTCTCTCGCTTCGTGGAAGGAATAAATGGAATGAAATATAAAAGCGCTATCGTATGAATAGATGTAGATTTAGTTTTGCTTATTTAATTCCTTAAAATGTTTTGCCATAGATTGATAGTAGAGTGCACTTGAATCGTCATCATAGCTAGTCTTTTCTTTTTGCGATTTCACTGCTGCTTGAACATTTTGCTTTGATCCACTTTTGACATCATTCAGCGAACAATAACATCACTTTGTGTGCGATATTTAACCGTTTTTTGCGAAAAAAGATTTGTAACACATTGACGAGAGAAAAACAACAATTAAACAAAAAGAGCAACAACACGGAGAGAAAGACCGAACAAATGTCTCATCGTCCTTCAAAATGCGTTTTGTCAAAACCGTGTGTGTTGGTTTTGTTTTAGCCTGTTTACACCGCGATATCCGACCCGAACACAAAAATGACACCGAATGCGATCAACCAAATTAAATGAAAAATATCAAATAAATTGACGTCATTTTTTTTCTGCTAGCTACTATCGTTCGTTTTGTCTCTGTGACTCCGTCGCACTCTCTCTCTCTCTCTCTCTCTTGCTGTTTTTTGCTGTCGTTCAAAAGTTGTGTATGAAGCTGATCGAATTCAAACGTACACGATGAAATGTATCAACAAAGTAAATAATATAGTATTACTGTTGTCTTGTGCTGGCTGACTGACTGACTGGCTCTCAGTGTGACACAACCTACGCATACAAAGACATCCAATGTGAGTGTGTGAGTGTAGCTCAAAAATAGTAACGTACAAATGCAGCGCAGCACATAGCAATTGCATTGGTGTTTGTATGTGTGAGTGTTTGTGTAAAACAGTGAGTAAAAGGGAGTTTCATGCGAAGTTTAACTGTCAAAATACCACATAGCAGCAAAAAAAAAAACGTCGGTAACAACAGCAAACGGGGATTGTTTTGATTTGACTATGTGACATTTAAGGTGTCCAAAACAATAAAGTTAAATTCACAAAAAAAAAAACGTCTCGTACAATTGTAGAATTTGAAAATATTTCAAGAATAATATTGTACGCGCAAACAATGTGTAATAATTTAACGATTTTTTGTTTTCATGACATGTCGAAGTGATTAAAATGCGCACATACATTTGATTACGAAGGAGTCACGGTGCATATGTCAAAGAAAAAAGTGAAGCTGTATGTATTTTTTTATGTATCTCTCTGTTGTATTCGATATTCTAATGGGAATCCAAATTAAAATTGTGTCTAAAACCAGAGTCTTTTAAAAGTTTTATTCCAAATTTCGGCCAAAAAGTTTAGTTATATCGACGTAATTAAATACTGAGCAGAAATCAATAGCAATATGTCAGACAGTGAAGCAGCCCGTGAAAGTTTGCCATCGATAAGTGATTTAACATTGAATCCGCCATCAACACCAATCACCAAAACACCAGCCACCGCCGATGGCAAAGTTAAGAAAGAAATTGAAAAAGGTTCGGATTCAGTTGCAAAAATAATCAGTCTCACAGTTCACCAAACTCATTTTTTTCTCGTTTTTCTTTTTTGTAGTGGAAATATTGCTGAAACCGACGGGAAGTGCTCCAATTATAAACAAAAACAAATGGAGCTTAAATGCTGAGAAACGTGTTAGTTATATACTATATTGGCTTCATAGCTATTTTAAATTAGATGCAGAAGAGAAAATCGTAAGTTGGTGCCCATGTCAAATCGTTTGATTGGATTGGTTTGAATCAAATGATTCAGTTCAATTTAATTACAATTTTACTGATTTTAATTTGACATGTGTGTTTCTTTTTTTTCTTCTTTGCCTTTTCAGTTTGTGTATGTAAATCAAACATTTGCGCCAGCACCAGATCAAACCATAAAAAATTTATATGATTGCTATGGTACAAATGGAAAACTGATATTACACTATTCGAAGAGTCCGGCGTGGGGTTAAAATCGAAGAAATGTTAACATCAAGGAAGAAAAGACAAACCATACATTATCAAAAGAAGCAGAAGAAGGAGACCTTTTCATCATTTCCATTCTGTGAAATGCAAGAATTGCAGTTGTCGTTTAGCTAGTTAAGTTATAAGGAGTCATAGATTTATTTCATTTTTTACAATGCGAAGCTCTATTCTTATTTTATAAATTATACTCTATACGACCATTCACCACAATATATAAGTTTAAATTACCAAAATAACTGTTGTTTTTTTTCTTCTTATTTATTCAAGTCGATTGATATGAGATATTTCAAATTGTTATTGAGCTGGTAGAGAATTTGAATTTCAATCACGAAATATTCATATCGTACAAGGTAAGCAATGACATGAATCAGCCATTGCCTCTGAATGTGTGTGAGTGTGCACTGTACATGTATGAGTATATGTATGTGCAGTTGACATATTGTAGAGAATTGAGAGTTGAGGTTATGTCACCTGAGTGTTTGATACACAAAACGGAGGCCTCACAATATATATCAAACCAAGCAATTAAGGTAGGACATAGAAATTGGTTTATTTTCATTATTTTTAAATGTAAAATTTTGTTGATTTTCATTGAAAGTGTTACATTTGATGTTTGTGGAAACGGCAACCATGAAAAATGTTTGAATCAAAACGATATGGGGCGTACGGATCGTAATCGTAAGCGTAAAAAAGCCAACGACCTTGAAATACAGTCAACAAATGGCCGATTAGAAAGCATGAATTCCGAAGATATTTACATAAATTTGGCGCGATCGCTGTATCAAAATGGTTGGCTGAACGAGACGAATCTCAAAGTGGGTGATTTTCCACAAACTGGGCGCGGCATCTATTCCATAAAAAATTTCCGTAAAGACGATCTACTCATTTCGCTTCCAATTGAATCATTGATTAGCATCGTTACGATTGCGGATGACATGAAATTTCGTTATCTATTGAATCGCATCTTTGGCGAACAAGAGAAACAGTGCACATCACAAAGTTTACTTGCATTATATCTGTTATATTTAAAGCATACCATACAACGTACGGAATACATTTCAACGCTTCCAACATCATTTTCGGTGCCATATTTTTGCGATGCGGTCGAAATTCAAGCAATGCTTCCAGCAATTCGAGACAAAGTATACGATCAACGTGAAATTATCGATGTGGACTTTAATTGCTTTCAAAATTCATTCAAAGATACACGTTGTACATGTTGCAATCAGATTTATTTCTGTGATATTTTCAATAAGACCGACTTTGAATGGTCATTTTTTGCGGTCAATTCACGTTCGGTGTATTTTAATTTGGAAAAAATAGCCGTCAAACATTTGGATTCGGTGCGACGTGTACAAAAATTGCTCAAAGATGAGCCCACTTTGGCGTTAGCACCATTTTTGGATTTATTGAATCATAGTTGCACGGCTGGCACCGGTTTATATGTTAAAAATACAAACAACGGACCACTTTATCAACTGTATACGACTGTTCCGTTCACAAAATATGAACAAGTTTTTATTAGCTATGGCGCATTGGATAACATTAAATTACTTACGGAGTATGGGTTTTTTGTTCCAAATAATAAACATGATTTTGTGGAAATTCATCGCAAAGACATTGAATGTTACCTTAAAACGATTCCGTATCGCATCAAAATGCTCATTTCGAATGAAAATCTTGACCAAAATCTATTCATTACCCGCACCAATGGATTCAGCCATAACATACGGATTTTAATTTACATTTTATGTAATTCAGCGCATGCAACAACAGTGGCCGATGAAAATTACTTCAAAAAAATCATCTACGGCGACATCAATGGAAAAAACTTTTTATCGAACGATACGAAAGCAATGTCATCAAAAATTGTTGCGGTTAAAGTCAAGGAGTTACGTGATCAATGCGGTTACTTCACAGAACTTCAAAATAACAACACCATCACCGAACGAGCAACTATCTATTTGAATTACTTGAACGAAGCAATCAAATGGCTCGAATGTGTTGAGCTAGTTTGATAAGGCTAAGAAAAGCCATAATACTGTTTGTAGCATTTTGATTTGCGATACAAGAAATCATTTGATATTTAAGCCACGAAGAAATGAAAAGCAACAAATTTTTTTACAAATACAAGCAAATACGAATGCTCGCAAATAAGCCGATTGTTTTCTTTGTATGTTATGTTTATAAATTTAAATTGCATAGAATTTTATTTTCCATTTTATTTACAAATAAAATAACTTATTTCCAACCGATTTTTTTGTCGTTTTAATCAAATCAATTCTTATGATTAGATATTATAATGTATTTTCGTCACATATTTTTATTGCTGCTCTCAATTTTGCCGACCGGCTGCGAGGATTTAAATCGATTTCTTTCAGTGATGGTACAATTACATGTTTGTAAAGCGGTTTCCAGTTTGATTTCATGATTTTTTCAATGCTCTCCTTTTCGCAAATGGCCAGTTGACTAACATACTTTAAAGCAATTGAATTTGCGAGGCCTTGAATGACTTGACCTTGAATGTGTCGTTTAACAATTGTATCTTCTAACGAATGAAATGTAATCGTCACCAGTCGACCATTTGATTTCAAATATTTTTCGGCACACTGAATACCGTAGTTGATTTCGTTTAATTCATTATTGACAAAAATTCGTAACGCTTGAAATGTTTTTGTTGCATTATGCATTGGCCGATTCATTTGATCCATGTGAAAATGGTCATCAAAACATGATGCAACGATCCTTGCAAGCTCCCATGTCGTTCGAATTGGTGTCAATGCATGCCGTACATCGATTATTGTGCGCGCTATTTTCTTTGCTTTCTTTTCACCGCCATACACTTTTATAATTTTGGCCAAATCATTTTCATCAATTGTGGCTAGTACGTCAGCCGCTGTTGGTTCATCTGGATATCGATTTTTATCCATTCGCATGTCCAACGGGCCGTCAGCGCTAATAGCAAAACCTCGCTCTGGCTGATCAAATTGCATCGATGAACAACCAAAATCGAATAAAATACCATCGATACTGTCTGCATGCACATTTATTGAATCCAATAACGATGGCAATTCGGAGAATCTCCCACACAATGGAATCACCTGATTCGGATACATTCCACTTACTGCATCCATATACTTTCTGGCATCTGGATCACGGTCGAGCGCAATTACTTTTATGTCTGGAGCAGATTCTAGGATCTTTTTTGTGTGGCCACCAGCACCAAAAGTCATATCTATATATGTTTTATCACTTTCGGGTTTTAATGCTTTAATCACTTCTTTGGCCATAACAGGTATGTGCGGTTGCACGTTAACAACATTTTCCAGCACATTTGATTCGCTGTTTGTTGTGCCTGACGGCGAAGAAACATTTGTAACGAATGTTCGATTGAATAGAAGCGTAGATACTTTGCGACGAATAATCAGTCGTCCGAACATGGTTGCACCTAAATGAATTGTTTTTTTAAATTGAATTCTTCGTTGAAATTGTGTGGTAGAGCGATTTAATGATTTCACCGGTTAATTGCAATGGATTGGACCAACCGAATATGGAAATTTACTAAATTTGTGTTTGTTTTTCACGTATTTCGTATTGAAATCTCATAACCAACAAAAATATGTCAATATTTATGCTCATTGGGATATACATGCCGTCTTTTATTTTGACGTTTGTTGAAATGTCAATTGTATGTGTTATTTGGTTTGTTCGCGCCAAAACAAGTCAATAGACATCAATATCAACGAAAGCAAAATCATTTTTTTCGGTTAACAACTAGAATATAAAAGGTAAATGCGTATATTTTTAATCACACATAAAAAACTTTAGTTGCGCAAGCCAAGATATTGCTGAAAAATTGAGATTTGGTAGAATAACATGAAATCATTGTTGAACACACAATCGCATCGGAACAATATCACGACAAATACGACGAATATACAACAGTAACAAAAATTAATTTTCACATTTCATGCAAACCAACATTTCCGAGGGCAATTTCATTACTTTCATATGACTGTATGCTTTTAATATTCATTATTCGTATCATTCTATAATCCAAAAGTGTATTCCATAGAAAGTATTTATTTTTCTTCCATAGATTCGTTTACAACTACCAAATCTCATATTTAAGCAATGTTGCAAAGTTGTTTGCTCAAGCGATTTCAAGTTTATTTGTGGTCATTGCTTCACTCTTAAACTATATATAAATTCGATGTTTCTACCTTTTTATATAATTGCATTTTGTCTGGTAATTTCAGGTAAAAATGGATGATTTGGATCACGAAAGGTTTTATGCTCTCGTTAAAAAAGATCGTGTGTACGGAATGTTGCTGAAATTTTTTAATCCAGTCAAAAAGGACTTGATCCGTATAGATGAAGATACAATTCTCAAATATATTTCAAGTGATGCTGATGATGATGATGATGAAGAGAGTGACAACGAGAAAGATCTCGATATAACATCAATAACTGATGGAAATAGAAAAAAGTGTACTGGCTGCTTATACGAAGTAACAGTAAGTACTTAAAAATTACTATTTCATGACTCTACAATTCCTGATCGATATCTTCGATTCTTTTTCCATTCTGTTCCATTACTTATTGGTTAATTTCCATTCTTTTCTTCTGATCATCCCTAGAAGAACCGGTATGATAAACGCCATATAAACAAATTTAAATATGATGGTGGTAAATGCTGCTGGTGCTCACTTAAAACAAATGAAAAACAGCACCTTGATGACTTTGCAAAAGTCAAGCGTTGTTGTATGTGCGACAAAGAAGGGTTTAAAAATAATACAGCATTCGATACTCACCGCTCAAAATGCAAAAAAAGTAAAGAAACAAAAAAAAAATGACTATAAAGAACGGTTAACTAATTCTTGTTCTGTCTTTTTTTCATCTTTTATTTTTTCTATTTGTTTAGGATACTTATCAAATCCGCAATATTCCCGGGCTCCTTAAGCAAAATACCCACGCTGAACATTTGATGCATCATCGTATTTGGTTATTTGTGATATATTTTTTTTAATTTGACGAGTTTAATTATCAATATATAATTAATAATATGCTATAAGTTCCAGCTAAATAAAATCAATACTATTTTAATAGCACAAACACTTGACAATTAACATCGACAACAAACATTTTTTTAAAGTGCAAAATTCGATTGAAAATTCCTGTTACTTCCGTGCGTGGTATATCTGAATGCACAGGAAAATTTAATTAAAAAAATGAACGTTTCTGTTAATAAATAAAAATTGCATAGAATTTTATTTTCCATTTTATTTACAAATAAATTCTAACTAATTTTCTAATGTTTATCATTTTTGCATTAGTTTTTTGTTTCTAAATGAATCAAGAAATAATGTGGAGTAAAATTAAAACACATTCAACACGATTTTTCTCTGTGTGTTTTGTGTAAAATATGATTGAATTCGTTTGCTGTTTTTTTTTTCTCTCGCAAAGTAACAATTGGAAATACAATACACCAAATGAACGAAATTTATTCTAAAATTTATTTGGTCGTTGGTGTATTTTGTTTATTCTAGCTCTGTTTGGTCACTTTTCAGCCGTTTATTGTCATCTAAATTTATCTGAATTTAATTTAGTTTCTTTAAGAAAAAAAAACATCTTTTTTATTTTCTATCTTCAGAAGAAGAAAAATTTTGATTTAAAAATTTGCCTAATATTGAAATTTCAATAAATTTTTTCCCAATCGATATGCCAATTACGTAGATTATTAATTAGGTACATAAAAATTCGTGTCATATATCCAATTTCAAAATAAATTTTCTTGAAACAGTTTTTCGGCATATTTGTCTTGACTATTCCATGCTATAATTCAAATTTTAAATAAATTCTAATCAAATTTTGGCTAGTGTATGTTTATGTGTGTGTGTGTGTGTGTGTGGAGCATAGTTTCCAAATAATTTCATTTTAAAATTGATTTAACATCGATGTCAAGTCATTTAAATATATGAACTTCATCACTCATAAAACAAACGTGATCGGCTTGCCTGTAGGTTAGTCATTATAATGAATTTAAGAATTACTCTACAATACATTGTGTATTTTTTTTTCTCATGAATATTTCCGTACATAAATGGAATTTATTTGTTTTTTTTTTTCATCATAAATTAAATTTAAATTAATATTGAAAAAAAAAGAAGAAAATCTACTCGATTTATTCAATAAATCTAAATTTGCGCGAGTAAAATATCCCTTTTAGGAAAAAGAGAAGAAAAGACAATTAATATTCGGAAGATATGGTAAGAAAAGGCTACAAATTAATCCAAAAGATGAATAAATCATAAGAATTACAATAATAAGAGAGACGCAAAAAATCTAAATGTAAGTCATAATCTTGATAACATCATTGTTAGATCAAGAGAATAATATCAGAAAATATAGCTGAATGAGAATTGGCAATTGTCCAATTTCAAACGGCATAATCGACTTCACTCCATGAAAGCGAGTCACCGGACATTTTGAAATCGTCTATATTAAACAAATCCAATACATGATTATTAACATTGTTGCTTGTGTTTGGAGTAAAATACGATGCTGCCGATGTCATAATGCCGTTTGGTGTATTCACATCGTTCGTATCGAAATTGATCGTTGATGCGGTCACCGTTGACGGTACCGATGATTGATTCAATGTCGTTGACAATTGTGACGTTGTTGGAGGCAATGCAAAATCAAATTGAGCTAGTGTATTATCAAAATATTCAATATCCATTGAACCTAAATGCAAACCACTCGGCGTTGTAATTTGATTACTTTGATTGCCTAAATAAAATGGATTGTTATAGTCAATTAAGTTGTTGTTTGGATTACTATCTAAACTACTGTTCAGGTTATTGTTTGTGTCATTATTGCTAGTACTATTGCTACGGTGATGATGATGTTGATGATGATGATGATTATGATGATGATGATTATTTAACGATTGTTGGGGACGTATTTGATGCTGATTCTGCTGTTGTTGTTGTTGTTGTTGCTGCTGCTGCTGCTGCTGTTGAATTATTTCCGATAGTGATGGCTGCAGTGATGGATTCATATCGCGTCTGCATGATGTAATCATCGATTGTTGTGACGAATTCATGCCACTGTTACTTGCCCTATTAATTGATAGAAATATTGTTATTTTCTCGTCAAATTTTATAATTATTTTTACACTCACCGATCGTTCAGTTCATCTTTGATGCCAGTCATTGGATGGCAACTATCATCGCTAATATCCATATCAAGTTGTTGTCCCATTAACTCCATGAGCTCAATGTCATCGAATGTCTTTAAATCAACCGAGCATGCATCATTTGTTGATGTGTTCATGAGTTCCTTTTTAATATCCATGCTCAACGATTTATCGTGATGTGATTCTTGCATTTTACCGGCGGCGTCGCTATGTGATTGGGCCGCTTCGCTCAAAAATAAATCGAAACTATTGCATGAATCGTCACAATTTGATTGTGGCATTGGCGACAGTGTGTCCATTGCATTCGCACTCAATAGCAAATCATTTGGAATCATATTTGAATCGGTGGCCGTTGACGAATCGAATAAAGAAAATTCTTTTTTCACTGGCGTTGTATTAAATGGAAGCGTGGCGGCAACATTGCTCATTAGAACATTGTTTAAATTCGTTGCATTGTGTAGCGTATGATTTGTTGAATTAGGCATCGTAATTCCTGTGTTAATACTTGGCAAGGTCTGTTGTTGCCGGGGTTGTTGTTGCTGCTGCCGCCGATGCTGCTGCTGCTGCTGTTGTTGATGCTGATGTTGTTGTTGTTGATGTTGTTCGAGTATATTTTGCATCTTGTTGGCATTGTGTTGCTTATGTTGTTGCTGTGGCTGTTTGTTTGAGTCCAAATTCATTGGATGACTAGAAATAATTTTCGGTGCCGTTATTTGCGTCAAATGTAAACTGACAGGCGGCGGCGGAGGTGGTGGCTGTTGAATTTGTGTGCTAAGATTTATTTTCTTTACGATTGCATTTATATTTGGCGTACTGGTTGAAATTGGTACGAGGAAATTTTGCATTGCCGTTCCTTGTGGATTACTACTTAGCACATACTTTTTATCGTCCGGAAAATTTACCAATAAAATTGTCGATTCACCATTCCATACAAATTCATTTGGATTTTTAACTGCTGTTTGTCCAACAAAATTCGATACAACTGGCTTTGGAGCAAAACTCTCTTTGGCTTTCACCGCATTTTCTGTATGAAATGAAGAAAAATAAAACATATAAAAATGCAAATTAGAGTCAATTTGTGCCTAGCATTAACATCACAATGTTACCTTGTTTTCTCCTCTGCATTTCTTGTTGTTGTTGTTGTTGTTCCAATTGCAATTTTTGTAAATTTTCCAGCTTTTGTAGTTTGTCTTTTTGAATTTTGGCCTCTAATTGTTGTTTGAATATTTGCTTTTGATTCAATGATTCCGTTTTATTTGGAACGACGTCATTTTGTGCTAAAATAATGGCCGGCGAGGATTGGCTCTGTTTCATTTGCATTTGCTGCAGTTCGTGTTGGCTTTCCTTCAATTTTCGTTGAAGTTCATCGATTTTTCGTTGCTGTTCACGTAACAATTCCGCATTGCTCTTTTGTTTGGGCAATTCATGCATTTCAATACAATTATCGGTATCCATTGAAATCGGTGAAATTCGACTAGCATTATCATTTTCATCATCGATACCATTTTCACTGGTCGTCATCATCATATCTTGACTGGAAGGAGTGGTGGCCGGTGTAGCAACATCTTGTTGTAAAAATGGTCTCAGGCGTTCAATGAGCTGAGGTTTTGGACCGGAAACCGGTAAATTACGTGTTTTCAGCAATAATTTCAAATCGGAAACTTTCATTTTTTCTAATTTGCTCAATTCCAAACTATTTGTATCGATTGGACCCAACACTGGGCTGGCCGGTTTCATTAACGTTGATGATGTGGTCGATGATGCGGCCGGCGATGATTGTTGCATGAAATTATTTGTCATAGAGAATGTTTGTGTTTCAGATTGAGCCGGTTTCGTATTGATAACGGTTGCCGAGGCCGGTAAATTTTTATGTAAACCTTCTAAATACTCGAGCAAACAGTTCTGTTGTTTCAACAGCAATTGATATGATGTTTCTTCCGGTTGCATCGATATCATACCATTTTTCTGTGCATTTGGCGGACCTTTGTATTCATGGAATTTTATTGTACGTGTTTTTGTAATCGGTTTCAATTTATTCTTTTTTCGACTTTGCTTGCCCGGCGCATCGCATTTATTTATATTTTGTATTGCTTGAAATGATATCGTTGGCGCTGGCAACGATGTAACCCGATTACCTATTTTATTTGACGCATATGGTGGATTCTCAATAACCGATTGACATAATTCGGCGAATAAATTGCTGGTTTCCGTTTTGACGTGAATCGGTTCGATTGTCGGCTTTGGAATCGATGCAGTCTCAATTGATGTATAGTAGGCTGGCGGTAATTTGGATTGTGTTACGACCGTTGTAAAAACGGTATTGTTATTCTCATTTGAAGTGAGTGGAATAATTGTCGATGTTGATGGGATCGATGTTGCTTCATTTGAATCCTGACCAGCTGGACTTTGTTGATCACCTTCTGAACTTTGTGAATCATCTTCGTATGTTATGTAACCGTTTGGCTGTTGTGGACGATTCAATAAACCTGAACAGGGCAAAACATTGAACAAGGAAAATATTATATATTTGAAAATATAGTCTTTTCGTTTTTTTTTTCATTGAACAACAATGAATAAATCTTACCTTCGCTGGTTGCCTTAAATGAGATGAGACCTTCTTTGACAATTCGTTCGATTGGCTCTTCAGTGTGAAGAATATTTTTGGCAATCAATTCCAATGGGCCGGGACGATGTGACAATTGTGAATTCAATTGATCGGCAAGACGTGCTTTTTTCAGCATACGTTGACGTTCGGCCAAACTGGGATCCACATGACCTTCGTCATGTTCAAGTATGTGTCGTCGTTCAAGCTCTTGGCGATCAGGCCGCTGTTGAATTTTTGCTTTCAGAATATCACCAGTTTTTGCTCGTTCCAATTGTTTTCGTTGCTCATGCAAGGCCGGTGATGATTTTAACGCTGATTACAAATAAATTTTCACATTTTAATCCAAATTTTTTATGTATAATACTTTATTTTTGTCATAAATTACTCAGTGCGCGCGACACGTCATTTATTATCTTAAGATAAAACAATCATACTTACAAGGAATAATGCCTTGATCAACTAATTGCGCTATAGGTCGTCTAACCATTAGTTTGATTTTTAGAGCTAGAATGGAACGACATATTCAATTTTTTTACAAACGGTTTTTTTTCATTAATTTGATAATTGGATTTAAGGAGGAGTGTTTTTCGTCATTTGGACAAATTTATTTTACCTTCTTTGTTTTTGCTGATAGCTGGTTGAAGTGGGCTACAATCAACAATGGCTTTTGGTGGTGATTGCCGTGTGTCCACATTTTCAATTTTGACGGTTCGCTTCAACTTCTCGTCACTCGCCATTGATGCTATAAGAATGAAAAAAAGCAAACGAAAGAAATGTGTGAACAATATTCGATTTCCATAAAAAAGAGCAAAACTGACGTCATCAACCACACAAAATGGGAAAAAATCAAAACAACTTCAAAAGAGGAAAAAAATGATTGAATAAAGAGAGTTGTTGCAAATTAACATTGGCGAAAGGTGCTATTTGGATGTATGTCTAACGAGTATATTGATGAATTCAATGAACTTGTGATTGTGAATTGAAGAAGAGACATAAAGTCTTCTGATGGCTTCTTTGTGGAAAATCAGCCGGTAAAAATTAAACTGCGCATGCATGAAATGTTAATGTAACCGAAAACCGGTTTTTCATTCGTCTTTTTTTGTTTTGATTGGGTGCGACATTGGCGCTAGAGCCATTAAACACTAATTCAATGGTTGTCGAAAAGACACTCTCTGCGGACAGTTGTGAATGTGATGGAAGAGAAAGAATGATAAAATTGCATTTATGATCGAATAAACACGCTATTTAGCGGATAATTAAAAACACACAATTTAAGAAACAATATACCAGACACGAGATCAATTAAATGAGTATCCATTACACTTGAATTTACGGTAAAAAATGGTTTAGACTTAATTGAGTTTTTTGATGGTTTTTCTACTTTTTCTTCCCTTTTCTCCCTTTATCTTTCTCGGCCTCGGTTCTGTGTCCCAAATTATTATATGAAGTGAACAAAAAACCACACGAGAACATATGATTTCGCATGGAACAATGCGTTCTGGTTAATTGCGTATCAAATGTTGTTTTTTGCCTTTTTAATTTACGTGTTTCATGAAATTCGATCTACAGCATACGGTATACGTAGATCTAATTACACACACACACACAACTGAAATACAATATCGTCTGAAACGAAAATCATAGAGGTAATAAATATTGAAAAATTTCAATTGAAGCATCTGTGTGATGAAATCTGGCGTCGCACTTTTCATTGGTTAGTTTGCGCATTTGGAGAAAAAAAGATTTACTAGTGCATGCAACACTTGAATAGTGTCGAAAATAATGTGCATCGCGTTACTCATTTTTGCTCGCAATTATCATCTGCGTCTGAACAGACACAGACCCGCGCAAAAGAGAAATGCTTTAGGCAATTTTGGTACGGTTTTTTTCTGATTTGCTTCGATATTTCCGTTTATCAGTGATTTTTCGTTGCATGCAACATGTCAGACAAACTCAAATGGATTTTGGCCTAAAAAAAGAAGGCCACAGAACAATTATTCGATTCAATCAAAATCATGTATGACAGTCGATCGTCAATTGGTTTTCATTATTTTTGTTTTACATTACGAATTACGTGATTGAGCATGTTTATGACATGTCAAACGAAAAAAATCATTTTCCAAAAATATGAAAAGTTTTTCGTAGTTCAGCTGTTGCAGTACAAAAAATGGGGTCAAAGAGTTTCGATCATTTTAAAAGTGTCATTTGAAATTCACTTCTACGCACTTTTTTTCGTTCAATATCATAATCAATATGCAATTGCAATTTCGTGTAATTTTAAAATATAAACACACACTTAATTCAACATTCACATTGGCTATGCAATTTTCAAAATATTCAATTGCTGTAATCACTTTGACAAATATTCCATGTGTAGGTTTATTTAAAATAATTTCTTGGTTTTTTTCGCTTTTTTAATGATCCTTGCGATGTAATTCAGACTTGTTTCAACTTGATAGAAGGTGTATATTTATACTGTAATTGAAATTCCTTCAAGCTACCGATGCAAAGGCGCCTCAAGTGAAAATATCACACAAATTCACACGAAATAAAACCCGTTTGTGGTTCTGCCAGCCGACGAAAGAAAATACTAAAAAAAACCAACAACACTGATAATGAATTCGTATGTTCTTCCTGTATGGTTTCAAAAACTACGGTTTCTCCAAGAGAATTGATTTTTTTTTTAACTATATAATTTTATAACAGATTTTGCGAAAGAGTTTAAAAGTGATGGGCGAGAGGAAGAGCGAGAGTAAGCAGAAAAAAGAGATGAAAAAATCAAAACAGCCACCATTTATATCGACACAATAGGATATTTGGTTCGTATTTGTTGTTTTGTGGTGCTATCGAATGCGATACCGACAAATCAAATGACATCGATTCATTTTTTACCGTGTACATTCTAGTAAGATTGCGCTGACATATAGCTAATGGATAGATTCCACGTGAAAATTAGGAAAAATTTGCACAGATGCAAAGTGATAGTAGCGCACTGAAATTTGCAGTTTTTCCATACACACACTCACTCACAATCCGACATTCGCGACGGTTTTGTTGTGATTTTGGCTAGTTTTACTATGGAGAATGACTGGTTCGTGACTTGTTCAACACATTTTCGGGTTTTATAAACTGAAAGAAGAAGGGAAAAAACACAATTTTTTTTTCACATACAACATACACAATACGATCAATACGTCGCTGACTGAAATATAATATGAGCCAAAGGCTAGAAAACGACGATACAAAACGATGATGACAGTGTCGTCGACTATGAAAATATGGGTTTCAGAATATGTACGGACGACAAAGACGAACAGACGATAGGATTATATATATTAAATTATAGGCTTTCGCATCAAAATATATGTTCCAACGCCACTCTGTTGACCAATGTGAGTTGAAAGAGCTACACTGGCTCTGGTCTGTCAATTCACTGTGGGAACTGTGAACATGTGTAATACAGATCCTCAAGCATTATAGATATACATATAAATATCAAAAACTGAATAGAAATACAATTATGTGTTTGCACGATCGACCGAATTGCAAAGCCGAAAGAATGACGAAAAAAGCAGCAACACACACACACACCTCTCAGATCGAATTTTTATATATATATTCGAACAAGCAATCTTACACCTTAAACACACCAATTTTTATTAGTTGTGTGTACACTGTACACGCCGTGAAAACACCAACAATATAGAAAGAGATAAAAGCCTACAAAATAAAGGTGGGTGGGGTACGTGTATTTGAATCAGATTTATTCACAAAAGCGAGAGAATTAAAATGAAGCAACAGCATCAACAGCATCGACAGCAGCAGCAAAAACGACAACAAAAATAAAATGACGACGATGCTGTATGTTGAATGTGCGCGAATAGATCGGAAAACAATTCACGAACCGATGCGATCGAAAGAGATGGCATTAATTAAAATAAAATATACTATGTGTGATTACGCACTGGTGAATTTGTGATGCGAGCTATTGCGAGAGGTCCATTTCATATATATATATATATATGATGAATGTGCTATCCTCATAAAAAGTATGAATTCTTAAAAAAAATTACGAGATTTACTCTCAATTCCGACCAAGTGTCAGGTGCACACAATCACACTCTCTACAACTCTCTAGCTTTTTTTTAATATCCCATTTCCATGTTGGAATTTTCTCTTCGAAATTGGATGATGTGATTGCAAAACAAACTCACTGTTATTTCTTGTATCGTTGGTAGGTAGAATTCCGAACCAATTTCACTGCACATACGAAATTTGATCTTCTAGGCGATTTCATGCGAACGTCCAAATTTAATTTCTATTTGGCTCGGTTGAATCAGGACATTAAAAGAAAACAACACAATATCACTGCAACATCAGCAGATTATGACGATGAACCATCAATTCAGACGAAGACGACGACGACGACACCGATTGAATCAGCACGGAAAAATGAAAACTATTTTTTTTTCACTAGCACCTAATTAACTGCAAATACACACATTTGGATAATCGAAATTTTTCCACTGGGTTCAAAAAAACCTTTTATTTTTGTGTGTCCCGAAATGTATATCAATCTCGTTTGTGATGTTATTTGTGTGTGACTCTTGTGTATCACTCACATTTAATTATTCATTTTTTGTTCTTTCAAATGAACATGCACACACAAACACACATGTAGCTTCTTTGTAAATAATCCAATGAATAATTTGCCGATTTGCCAAACAATTTATGAACAGTTTATTCGTCGGTATTCAATTTAGTTTTTCTTTTGTTGCATTTCTTGGCTGGTGAATATTTTTCTTATTTTGACTACTTGGACGACACTCTTGTGTGTTCTACACAAATTTTGCACAGAAAACCAATGACATTTCGAACCATATACTAGTAGCCACCGATCTTTTTTGTCAATGTGTATGCGTATTTAAAAGAATAAAATCAAAACATCACATTCATTCTAAATTTTGTGTCTATTTTATTCACTTCGAATTTATTTTGTGTATTGTGTGTTTTAAAAACATACGGAGTCGCAATGATGTCTCATATGGCAATACTTATTTCTACTTCGTAGCGCAATGGTATTTATTTATTATATTGCAAAGATATCTTACGATAAAATAATTTTTCCGTCCGATTTGGCTGATGTTTTTTTTTTCTCACTCATTCAACGCTGATACAAAATGATCTTCATTTTTTCAATTTTATTAATTGCATATGTGCTCAATTTTCAAAGAAATTCAATGGAGTTATGCAATTATTGGGGTTTTTTTCTGCCGGTTGTTAAATTATTTCTTCAACAATTTTTCCAGAACACCAAAAAAAACATAAACCTTTATTTTCCACTTGTTTGATTCCACAAAGTGTGTTGAGATTTTTAACATTTCAAAAATTGGCTGACAATTTATTGTCGGAATGTTTTTCTTCATTTGCACTACGTTTTTATGACGAAGTTTTGAAGTTAAGTTTTATCAAATGGCGATTATGACAATTCCGTGTGTATTGCAATAATATGTATCTATCTAATTATCTCTTTCACTCCTTCTGTGTGGTTTTTTTAGGTCGTAAAATTCGTCGTGGTAAATTTTATCTGAAATGATGGTTCACACTTTTGCACCTAGATGGCATTGAGACCAAAACAAAAAAATTCCAATTGGTCTGAAGTAGGCCGAGTGGTGTGGAAAATATTGGCGCTGTGATCACAGTGTTTGATGGCCACAATGCATACAATCTAACACTGGCAACACACACTCTCATATACAATCTAGTATTTTCATTTCGATTGAGTTTTTTTGTATAGAGTTAGAAAAAGAAAAAGCTAACGAACAAAAGAGAAAACGAACAGCAGTGAATAGAGGCAAAGAGAAGAGAAGAAAAAAAACAATAGTTTTGACAGCCTTTTGGTTTTGTCGTAAGCTGTGCTCTTTCCATTGCACACACAATAAAAGAGAAAGAGAAGAAAAAATATATCAAAAATTACAAATATAAACGAAATTTCTGAGAAAAAGTAAATTCATACGGGAAAAATATTGGAATTTCAGAAAAATCTGGTGAATAAATTCAAAATTTTGTGGTGAAGTAATTTGTGGGAATCAAAGCAAGAGCATTTTCAACCGAAAGTAGAAAGAAGAATTCTGCGAAAACGAAAAATTTCAATCAGTGGTGAAATTGAACGAAAGAAAAAGAAAAAATCTTTTGCCCAATAAATAATCGGTGTGTACAAAATAAAATTATGTGTGTTTTCATTGAATACTAAAACAGAGACGAATAAAACGAAGCGAGAAGTGTTTGTGTTGTATTTTAAATGGTGGCCTGTGGAAATTTGAATTGAACTTGAAACCAGACACAGAATTTAAATGTTGAAGGAGAAAAAAATCGGCTGCTGCAAAAATAAAAAGAGATCTATGAAATACATTTGACTTAATTTCACAATCAAGGAAAGTCGCGAGCTAAAGCGAACACATAATACAGCTAGTTTTGTCACTATTTTTTTTTACTCCACAAAAACCGTATCGAGTACATTGCCGTTCTGCTTTCATTGGTATAGTTGTTGTTTTGTTTTTTCTTTTGTTTTTCATTGAAGTGTGGACATATAACGCAACACACATACATACAGACATAAATACACCGAAAGACAAAGCCAAAGTCAGATAACCTTTTTATGAATGTGGTAGTATGTGCATTGAATATTGAATTCAAAAACAGAAAATGAATTAAAAACAGAATATATAAAAATACACGAACCAAATCAAGAGACATATATAAATATATACATATAATATATATGTATACATAGTGAGAGGAGGTGAACGAGTGAACGTGAGTGAAAGAAATAGAGACACGAAAAAGAGTGAGAGGAAAAGAGAACGTGTGGACGGCCAAGAAAAAGTGCCTACCAGAAACGACGGAACGGAAATCATTCTAAACAACCTTAGCAAAAAAAAAAACACAGAATTTCGTCATTTTTGCATTTTGTTTCAAAAACGGACAGAAATAAAGAAAAGTAAAGTAAAAACAAACCAAACCAGAAGACACAAAGAAGAATTGTATAGTGGAAAAGTCGCAAAAGCAGCAAATGACCATATAGAATAAACTATATATATTTGGTTGGCCGCATATTTTGTTTTGTTTTTGGTTGAGAAAACTTTCTATGAGGTAACAATAGCCTAGAAAGTAGTAGAAACGCCAAATCGACGAGTATAATATATAAGCGAGCAGCGCGATGACGGTGTACGTATAACAACACCAAATTCCTCGAATCAATTTGTAAGTGTGCTAATCTTTCTATCTTCTTCTTTCATTAAATATCATTTGCTGGCATTTGTTTTCCTCTTCTGTCGAATTGAAATTGTATTTTTAACTATCTGCCCGCTGGCTGATGTTGTTTTTGTTGTTGCGGTTTATTTTTCTTCGTAGTTTCGAGGAATTTTTTTTTGCTCTCTCGTCTGCAACATTCTTTTTTTTTATTTGTCAAATGTTAAGTACGTAAGCGGTATCATTGAATCATTACGTGCTGCTTCAAATGATTAAGGTTGAATAGGTTTCATTCATAAATGATTTGTTGTTCCTTGTAACGGCTGCTATCTGTGTCGTCTGCCGTGCATGCAATGATTTTTTTGTTTCGTTATTGTTGTTAGTGAGTGAACTCAAGTGAGTCGTTGCAAAACAAGATAAATATTTGTGTCATTTCTCTGTGTAACATTGATGAGAATCGCATTGAATGGTGCCGCTGTTGTATGTAGTTTTTCTTTCCTTTTATCTATCTCTCTCTTTCTCTCCCCCGTTTCCCCTTAACCGTGTGTGTGTGTGTCCGTTTGATAGTTTCATATAGGGAAAATCGCGTGCGCGATGCAACTTGCAACAATGAATAAGTAAACTGTAACTACATGAATGCGCCTCATAGCACGTCATAACATGATGTATGTATATGTGCATCGGCAGATGAGTGATGCAGAGGGGGCGAGAAAGCAATCTTTACACATTTCAACCGTTTGCTCTAATAATCGTTTGTGTGTTGAAATCCATAAAAAACATACAATGTGTCAACCTGCTCCTCTGCTATCCTCAATCTTATCCTTGAGAGAATGAGATAAAAACTATATTGTTGTATGTACAATGTTGATTGCCACTCAAAAACTTTCTTTCTATTTTAGTCCAATTTAATTGGCCAATTGATGAAAATTGCCAAATGAAATCTTAGATACATTGACTGAAATCAGAAAGTCAGGGCTGAAACGGGTACAGTAGGTGGTCGCCAGAGGATTTTATATATAACAAATGCATATGTTATGTGTAGTGTAGATGTGCGCTTGGCCGAGAAAAAATATGTGTTACAAGTTGAGGCCTTTGAATAAAAAAAAACGGTTAAACATTGTTTCAAAATATGGTTGAATGAGGTTTTTATATTTTACTATTTTGCTAGTTATAGCTGATGTATACTGGTACTTGATGCTGCTGCTGCTGTTGATGCTACGAATCTGGTACAATTGATGTTGTTGTTGCTATTATTGCATTCGTGTGATTTATTCGTCAGGTACTTTCGACGTCATTTGTTTGATGTTTGTCTGTGTGAGTGTCGGATTGTTTTTCTGTTCGCTCTTCTTTTTCCTCTCTTTCATATTGACAGCGTCTTGTTGTTAACTTTTATTGTCGTCATCACTTTGTGTGTTCGCGTAATAGTCATACAAACATTCGCGTGCAGAAAATTCATTTCACGCATTTCAATTTACGCGGAAACAAACGGTAATAAATTCTGTTGTTTATTAAAGTTCGTTTTTTTTCTGCTTCTTCTTTTGTTTTCATTTATTTCTTTTGGTATCTTCTTTTCTCTGGTATTCGCCGCTTTTTTTTCATTATCTCTTGCTCGCCGAGCACTCAATTTGGTTCTTTGTAATATAACGTTTGCACAGAAAAACAGTAAGAAAACGACGTGTATCAGAGAGCCAAAACAAATATCTAAAGAGATATATAAGTGGTATATAAAATACACATTGTATGCATCATGAATCTGACGTTATTTCGCATTTTAATGATATTACGTTGTTTACTAATTTGTTTTTATTTTTCTTCAATTTGTCGAAAGTTAAATTTGTTGTTATTTTCTTTTATTTGTTTCACTCTCATAGTTTCCGCTTATTTGGCCTAATATCGATTTGAAATATGTGTGCCGTTAGAGCATGTATGTGAAATGCGAAGTGACGACAATGTTGTTCATGATGATGATGATGATGATGTGTTTATGAATTATCTATGTCTGTTTCCGGCTCGAACTGGATATATATGATGTTTTGCTAAATGTGGGCCATTAAGTGCAAGTGCATACTGTTCTCCTTTAAAACATTCGGCATTGTTTTTGATGTTGTTATTGTTGCTGTTTCTGCGCGTGTTTTTTTTTCCATTTTTTTTTTCTTTGCGTTTCTTTTCATCGTTTTCTCGAGGTTGTCTTTCAATCAACGCGTACATGTGTGTTACATTGTTGATGCGACCCCTATTCAATATTGCATTTAGCCATATTTTAAAAAAACATCATAATAAATCTAATGGATACATATGTATGTCTTCCATATTTACCATATCAATTTTTCTTTGTTTGACACCATTTTTCTTTTATTTTCTGGCTCATTCTCAAATGAGCCCATTGTCACATTAGTCAGCAAACTATTACGAAATCAATGGTAACGACAATACCGAAAGCGCAATAGCAACAACAACGGCGACAGCACCAACACCATCAGCATCAGCGCATTTCATATTGCAACATAGAACAACATGAAACCGATTTTGCACATTCCATGTTAGTTTTTTTACTACTTTCCGTACTATGGGATGTGAATAACGCGCACGCTGAATCAAAATGTATGCCACACGATGTGAAAATACGTTGCATCGACGAGCGAATAATGAATCAAATATACAAACACACCCGTATGAAATTTTCGAGTGTTTTGCTTGCGCGCCGGTGTACATTTTTTGCACAACATGTAAATAATATATATAAAAGTATAATAAATGCATATGATATAGATATATCTAGACGAGCCGATGTCACGAGTATATATACGTCATAGGTGGTGTATCTGTGTGCAAAAATCTGGCAATCGAAAATTCATCGAATGTTTGTGTGGTGTGATATGGTCGTATGCTGTGGTGGAGCGTTTTCATATCTATACATATTTATATGCATCATATAGGGATGAAATGTGTGAAAAATTGCATTGAATTAATATTGTGCGCCGATTCCCGCTAAATTTCATGTCAACAATAAAAATGTGCTTACTCTCTCACTCTGATGGTTGAGAGTGGTGGCTCTCTTACATTTTTGTCTGAGTATGTATGTTCTAGAAGTCGAACGATCAGGGGAATTTTAGCCATTGGTTATTCATATAACTCTTTGCACTTTCTTGTCTATGATATGAGATAAGCGACGATACGATACGATTGAATACGATTCATTTACAACTACAACTGTGCCATTTAGATAAATTTATTTTACATACAGAGAGAATGAGTGAATTGTTGACGCGCACACCGTTACACTTGCTCAATTGTAAGTACGGGGGCAGCAGCTTTCCATAGACGATGAATACTACAACCAATACACATGTATCCACAAACAACGAACAACAACAACAGATTGTAATTACACACAGTATGCGCACATACACGATATACTATTTGCTACCTAGTGTACTCGGTACTGTTTGTTTTTTTATATACATATATTCTTTCTTTCGCTCGCTCCCTCTTGTAAATATGATGTGTAAGCCAATGCACTATGTATCGGTGCATTGGTATGTTTTGTATTGGGGATTCAGGATCTTTCTTGCTTTAGCGTAAATAGATGTGTGAATATAGGTTGTCGACTTATTTCTCGGTCATATTTTGATGCGTCTGTTTGTTTTGCTACGTGGTAGCTAGTTGAAATTTTGAATTTCTACATTAATGTTCCCCGTGCGATAACTTCTTTATGGCAATTAGTAATTGTCTATTGCTTCTACCGATTGGTTCATTGCAAACTCAGTTCACACCTCAATGCAAACCATATCCAAGCAAACGAAGCAAAAGAAAAAACTTTTCAATGGTTGCAAAAAAATCATTTATACGTAACACGGGCGGGAAAGAAATGAAATATTAACGAGATGAACGGGATATTGCGCAAAAATCAGTGCCAGTGAATGTGAATATTCAAAAAATGGTGATAGACGTTAGAAACAAATAAATGCCGCAATACCATTTCCATAGTGTAACAAAATATGTGTGAAACATAAGATTTTGTGTTTTTATAGTGCTGATTAACATTTTATTTCCACTGTGCTAGTTTGTTTGACAGTTCACAAATTGATTAAGTACAGTGAGAGAAAATCCATTTCATTCATTCATTCGGAGAGAGTATGCGTAGCAAATTTCCATCGAGCCTGAAAAAGAAGACCCACCAAATGCCAGTAAAGAAAAATACATTTTACATGATAGTTAGCATCATCCGCAACAGCAAAAAATTGATTTATTTTTAAGTTACAACAATTTTTTTTTCGTGTATTGTTCCTTGTTTCGCTTACATTCATACATTTATACAGCCACCACCAACGCCATGCATTGTACATACAAATGCATGCATATGCAGTAAAGTACATAACATATAGTAAAAGTATATGATATCGTAGATGAGAGAGCGTGCAAATGTCGTTGTTGGCGTTTTCTGGCTGCCTGATTGTGTGAATGGAAGTGAAAAAAACGGAGTATTTGCAGTTTTCTTGACATGTAGTTTTCTAGCTGCAATTTTTTTTCCTCTCTTTCTGCATTTTTCACTCTATACTATATATCGTTTTCGGGCGTTTTTCCCTTTATCACAGCAGTTCTAGAAAAATAGCAGCATCAACAGCAGCAGTAGCTGTGATCTGCTCCGTTTCGCTATGTGCTGCATCATCTCTACTCTCCATTTTTGCCTTGAATGTGTTGCAAATGAGCTGTTTTGCTATATACTTTGACATATTTAGTGCTTGTACTACGTATGGACAGTATAGGTATGATTCATTGGAAAAGATGATGCAGTCAAAACAAAACATCAAGACGATCCAAACACAGAATTTAATTTAGAACATATAATTGGATGTTGGTGTATTAGCGCGCATAATGCCTTTTTTTTCTCTCAAATTACCGTATACATATATATGCACGAAATCAAAGCCACTTGAACATAGCGCACACATCACATGAAATCGATGAAAAATGACTGAAAATATGGGAAAAATCGTCGGCGAGATACGAGA